ATTTGATATAACTGAAAATAATATTAATAAAATTATTAGAAATCTCTAAATCAAATATTTCTTTAAACATCTTTTTCTTAACTTTTTTAAGTCTAAAAGATTTCTTTTAATTTTTTTATTAAAAATTCCAATGATTTGATTTGATTTAATTTTTAATTCTCAGGTTTATATTAAATTTAATATGTGGATTATAATTTATTATTATTTTTAATAATGTTTTGAATCTTATATAAGTTTATACAAGTCTGTTCAATTTCAATTTTTAAGATCATATTTTTTATTTATTATTAATAAATATTATTTCAAATTAGAAATTTAAATTCTTATTATAAACTTTTATAATATCAAATTTTTGATCAAAATTTTAAGATCAAAGTATTAATTCTTACTTTCTTTAAAATCTCATTAGATATCTTTAGAAATTGCCTAAATCAACTAATCAAGATTTTTATAAAAATTAGAAAATATTATTCCAAATCTTAATATTGAACAACTTTTTTATAGTAATAAGCAATTAAATAAAAAAATTAAAATCCTTTACAATTATTATGAATTTCTAAGAATTTTTAAAAAATAATTCATCAATTCATAAGTTTTATTGTAAAAAATTCTAATAAATCCTAATAAACAAGAGCTTAATAATTCTCAAGTTTTTTCTAATTAATAATAATACTTTTTTAACAATTATTTATTAACTTTATCAAACATTTTTATCAATATTCTTAACAAATATATTTAAAAAACTAAAGTTACTTTCATATAAAAAGCTTATTATATCAATACAAAAAAAGAATTTAAAAAACAAATTAATAAAATTAACAAAATTATAATATAACTTAAAAATAATTATCCATCTTTTTAAGATTAGAAATTATTGGTTCTCTATAAAAATTTTTTTTTTTTTAAAAACTAGTTGAACCTTGCTTAGCAAACTTTATTAAGATCAATATTTACATATATTTATATATATTTATGTATATTGTTATAATATGAATTATTACCAAATGTTATAATATAATTATTGAAATTAAATTTAGTAATAAAGAAGAGTTTGAAAAAAAGATGTAAGATTTGGCATATAATTCTTTATCAAAAGACTTTGTATTCAAAGATTGGGACTTTTTAAGAATTCCTTTAGTAGATAAATCCTTTATTAACTTTTATAAATAATTAGAATATTGTTTGATTAGCTTTAAACACAGATAGTAAAGTGAACCTTTTTTTTTATACCAATTACAATATATTGCTACTTAGTAACTTAATGACAATTAGCATCACAAGAACTGTCCTCCTTATATAATCATATATGTACAAGCCTGCCAAAATATTTATACCAATTAATTTATAAAAATATAAAGAATTTATTAATAAAGATTTATTAAATTAATAATAAAAATAAAGATATAGTGATCAACATAAATATTCAGAATTTTTTTTTTATTTATATTAATTGCTTAAATTTCATATATATATTGTTTAATATAATAATTAACTATATACAAAAAATTAATAATAAATATTATTCCTGTTATACTTAATTACTTTTGCAAATTGATTCATTATGCTTGTTGCCAATCTAAAAAAGATATCTGAATCCAAATTTTTCCATTCTTAATAAATTATCAATTGAAATTCATTTGTTAAAAGTTTTTTTTTATTACTCAAATATTTACTTTTTTTTCTATCCTATCCTTAAGTATTGCCTATAGATTTTTGATTGGATTCAAGTCAAGTGAGTTCAAAGGCCAGTCAAGAATTTGAATTCTACAGATCCTAAAAAGATCTTGTGTAATATCTGCTATGTGAACTGGAGAGTTATCTTATTAAAATCATAATCTACAGTCTGTTTGAGAGACATAAGGGAATAGGTGAGTTTCTAGAATTTGGCAGTATTTGCATGCATTTAGGATTTCTATGAAAAGAAATAACAAAATCGACCCACATGCAGAAAATGTATCCCAAGTATGAATTTTGTAAGGATGTTTTACTATATTATGATGTGGTTGTGAGCCTTCATAATGGTATCTTACTAATTGAGTATTCCGAAACATCTAAAAAGTTGTTTCATCTAAAAAAATAGTATGGAACCAATTATCATGAACATGAGACTGAGCTTATTTGAGATAGGCAATAATATAAGAAGAATGAAAAAGAGGAATCCAGATTGGATGACAAATAATAAATTGAAGCTTTTCTTTTAATACATGTTGAACAGTGCGAACAGAAACTTTTAGATTAGGATTTTTTTAAACAAACCTTTCAGTCATTTCGGCTGCAGTTACAGCATTATTGGTTTGAACAATTCAATTAAGGTAATGGTATTGCAAAGGCATGAGAACTTGTGATCTTCCAGGAATAAGAAGTAGCTTAACAGTATCCCTTTTTTTAAGTTTATTGATTATGTTATAAACTGTAGTTTTTGGAAAACCTATTATTCATATGATCTTGGTGGGATTTAAAATATTATTGGTGTAAAACTCACTTACAACTGTCCTTTGTATCAAAAGTTTAGAGTTGTGGAATATTTTTACTTGTTTTGTATTAAAGGGAAATAAAAATGGATTGAAAAATGTGCAAATGAGATGCATAATATCTTGAGATAAAATAAAATAATTTCAATTTTATATTGAGCCAGGATTTATGTCATTATGCAGTTTTTTGTGAAACAGATCAAATTCTGGATATTTATGTCAATTACTATAGTTTATTAAAGATTTAGGAAAGGAATAAAGGTCAGATAATGTAATGATTCTAATTATAAGGAATCTATAACTATGTTATTTTCCAGAAGGGCGAAATAGCCATCTTTATATATTGTTTTTAGTTGTACAATCATCTTTTTTCTTGTTTATCAATAATGAACAATAATTCCGTTCGGATTGAAAATCTCTAAATTATTCGAAATTATATTAAGTAACTAGCTTTAGTAACCTTAATAAAATACGTTTTTCTAGTCATTTTGCTTATAGTTTAATAGAACGACTTTGACTAATTTTCTAATAAAATAATAAGATATTTCGCTCTAAAGATCGTTTACCATACAAAACCATAGAAATTTAAAGGATTGATGAGAATTCACAAGTTAATCACGTGGTCACGTGATCTCCGACATACAACATATCTTGAATTATGACACTATTCCTTTCTATAAATAATAATTTCAAGAATAAATTCATAAAATAATAATAAAATAATATCAAAAAAAGCTAAAATAATAATAATAAAATAATAATAAAAATTAAATAATATAATGGAATTAATTATTCCATTACAATATAAACTATGTTATAACATTAATTAATGAATATATACTAAACTATATCATGATATCTCTAAATATTGGTTGTTGCTATCAACTTTTCCTATTGGATAAAAGTTGAAACTAATGTGCCAAGGCATCATTGTTGTTAATGTTATTAGTATATAAATAAAAAAAATTATTTTTGTTATTTTGTTTGTATTTTTAATTCATCTTTTCAACAACTTTCTCATCAGATTCTTTTCCTATTTGCTGTTTTTCTCTCTTCTTTTTTGTCACTTTTGATTAATATATTTTATGTTTTTATTTTTTTTTATTCACTTTGCTAATATTGTTTATCTCTTTTTATTTATAATTTCTTTGCATTTTTTTTTTACAGTTAGTTGATTATTTTTATTATTTTTCCTATTATTCTTTTGCATACTTTGATAATTGTGAAATAATAAGAATTTATTTTTTCTGTTAATTTATAATTCACACCATATAATATAATATAATATATATGATTATATTGATTCTTTAAAGATCATATAAATATAATAAACCAATAAACCAAATAAAAACAATTAAACAATAATTAATGTAATTAATTAATATAACATCCATATTCAACTCAAGCCTTAGACATTACATAACTTAAACATTCTGTAAAAATATATAACTTTGAATATTTCCAGTTTCAGGAGTTCTAAAGAGATATCATTTAAATATGACATTCTAGTTACTCAGTTTCTTAATAAATTAATTTGCATTACTTATTTATTTATGCTACTAACTCATGTGTAATAATATTTTTTTTTTAATAAATATAATTATTTTTGTATTATTACATGTTCAAGAATAAGTAATCTTATTTGATCCAGATGTTCACATGTTTGTGACTGGTTATAGTGATATTGACAAAATATTTAGGTTATCAAAGAAATATGACAAGTTACAAAGTGACAGGGACCTTGCTTTGGAAAGAACAAATAAGAGAAGGAGATTTCGATTGAGCAAAAAGATGTTATGAATCATAACAATCCATAATTTGATCAACGAGTATCATCAGCTGGCCTGTTGGAATCATGAGATCATTTTTTACCCAAGTTCGAATTTTCGAGGAGGGTTTTAAAGAACAAGTGAAAGATTCGGTCAAAGACTGCTCGTGCGATGCTGGCTTAGTCTCATTTCAGGTTTCGGATGTTTTTACATCATAAGGCAAGGAGTTTAGCATTTGTAAGATCATTGAATGTACCAAAGAATACACAGCAAAAACGTGTGGGAATTGTGGATTCATAGAAATCAATAGGGATGTGAATGGTGCTCGAAATATCTTGCTCGAACATTTGACAGAGGGTCAGGTGTGAACCTGACTTTGGGACTTGAACCTATATGGGATCCGATTTGAATGGTAAGATCAACTTTATTTATTTTTATTGGATTTAATTTCAAGGGTAAGTGCAACACAAACATGAGCGTGCTTCTTAAAATCAAAGAAAACACAGTACTTCTATGGAAGAAATACTGTGTATTATGACAAAGATCCTAGAATTTTAGAGAGAAGATAATTTTCCTGATAAAACATTTTACGAACCAAGAATTTTACTGTACACACAGGATTTTAAAAGAAGAATGTTTATGGATAAATAAACAAATTATTAATAAATTAGCTACTTTTGACCTTATTAGAAATACGCTTTTATGATCATTAGTTAGTAAGGAGTCAAAGCGAGATATATATATGTAATCATGGAATAAATTATTCTTTACGGAATTCTTTAAATTCGCCATGGCCGAAAGATATAGGCACAACGTGTGGCAAATCAGCTCTAGCCAATTCATTCAACGTCTTTGCGTCAAGTATCAACAAGAAACTTTTGATGTTTAAACCATCGAATACAACGCTTAATAGTACACCATCATCTTCATCATTTTCGTGACCTGGGCGTGCCGCGAAAACAGGTTCCGATGGATAACAACCTTCTCCTGTCCACATTGCAAGGACTTCTTTAGAATCCAAATCCTGGATTTCATTAATATTTATCGTTATGTGAGAATATATTCTTCGCAAAATCTAAACATATTTTGATAAACAGAACTTACATTCTTGACAATTGCATCCCAAATTTCTCCGGTATGCTCGCCAGCTCGTGCAGAAACGCCGATGCCGTAGACATATCGGTACTTTAGACG